TGAATCAACTTACCATAATCCTTGCACTTATACTTGGTGTCTAGACTACCAAAGATCTTGCCAGTCTCATTATTAGATGAGCCATTGGTTTTAAACTCCTGTATGGTTAAGAACAGAATCAATAAAGAACATTTAGGCATTTTGAGGCAAATAAACATTTGAGTTACATAATAATAACATACCACTCCTTTCTTTGTTGTAGTTTTAACATCTAGTTTAACAAATCCAGGTCCTGAAGAAAGAAAATTAAAAAAATGTACATGTAAGAAAGACATTTTCTATAAACAAACTTTTGTTACTAGATCTTGATACAAGTATTTCTTAAGTAGAATTATCAGTGGAAATCCAGTACATAGCAACAGAATGCAACTATTTGGTTCCCTAGGATGGAATACAACTTACCATATCCYTTTCCAAAAACATCCCTAGATTCCTTTCCCAGATCATCATACTTTGGAGGAACGGTTGCCATCTTATCTGCAAAATGATAAAAAACCAATAAAATTAATAAATAATTAATCATATTGTGACAGTTAAACCTTTCACTATGAAGCAAATTAAAGTTTGGAATATATTCTTAGAARTGCACTACAATAGTACCATTCTAACACAATCAATTGAGTATGGCACTGGTGGTGATTGTACTAAAAAAAATATTAGTTGTATTTGCTTATTCTTATACATAAGGAAGAGTTGAGAATGAATACAATGTATGCGAATAAATACTAGGTTCAGAGCCAATGCAGTTTAATGAGGTAGATCAAATTTGTCCAACACATATTATATGTGGTTTTGCCCACCTCTGTGGCCAAACTGTCACAGGTACTTCTAAATTTGAATTTATAACTTGCAATAACAAGAGGATTACAAACCTCTACTGTGCGTACTTATACACATATGAAGTCTTTTTATTATTCCTTAAAAAGTGACATAGTGCCAACACATTTCACATGCTAAATTCATTTGATATTTCTATTTATAGGCTTTTGATAAACATCAAGTTTTCCTGTTTAAGATATCCATAAAGACTTTTCTTTCTTCTCACTGCAGAAAAACTTCATGCTATAGAATTGKTTATTGCACAAAAGAAACCTCAGAAATTATTAATGAGAACATTTAAACTCCAGAAAAGATAACTAATTGGAAGTTGGCAATAACAAAGATKGCATTTCAGTTGAGAATCCATGAAGAATTTGACTATTTATACACGTGTACAGCTTAAAATTCATGAACCGTGAAATACTTCTAACATAAATTCGATTAAGTTATCGATATTTCAAAAAGCTGACTGGATGAGTCTTTGAAATAGTCTAGAATTCCATCATCATGTAGAAGATTACTCTTCTGAATTATGACATAATCTGTATTTACAAAAATTTGTACAATTTAAGCACATTTTTGTCGTGTGTAAGATCATGATGCAACATTGGATAATGTAGCTGTATTCTATTGCAGTTTTGCCTGGATTTATATCTGATTTTTTACAGAGATTAAAATATAATGTCAAAGGCAGTTGTATGATCGTTGACATTTTCAAAACTTCCTCTTTGTTATACAAAGAAGACGCCTCCCTCCAGCCCTTGGAAATGCGTTACATATCACAATGCAATATTCTTTAAAACTACGTCAGCTTGCAATCTACACAATCTCGCATCTAGTGCCAAATAACATCAAATATAACTTAAGTGATAGGTTATTTGAAGTTAAGTAAAGGTCAAGTAAAAGATTGGATACAAAGAGAATACAGGAAAGATGTGCAAGCCGGTACGTTTCAATACAGGTTGCACGAGCTTCAACARAGACAAAATGTCTGTAAAATAAGCATGGAATCGGTGACAAATATCATTGAGAATGAACAATAACAAAGAATAGATGTCCTTTATAGAAGGGATGAGTAAAAACAAAGCAAAAGAAAGATATTCATGAAGAAAACTTACTTTCTAGGGAACGATATCCTCTCTTTCCAAGATCACGTCGACTTGCTGCTGACCGAGAAATCCGTGGGGGGACTGCTGCCGGTAACAGGGGCATTACCAGGACCGACGCGGTCATAAAATATAAAGCGACCTGGGCTCTACTAAAATAGTTTCTAAGCAACGGCGTAATGTATTGTAATTAGAATTTTTAGCACAAAATGGCACAAATTCGAAGAATTCACCGMAATGATTCATTATATCCAGGCTCAGATAAGTTCTATAAACCCTATATAGGCAAAGGAGAGATAATATTTGCAGGTAAGTCAATGGATCTACAACGCATATGTTTGCAACAGGTTGGAAGCTTTTGTTTTGGAGGAGGTACTCAAGAATTTGAGATGAATTGATTGCTAATAGGTTGATTGCTCAGCTGTTTATWAACATTTGGCTTTGCATCTGGAACGTCTTGTCTTGATGATATTAAAACTGTATTATAAAGATCACTTTTTGCTTCTTGTAACAGTTTATACTGCTTTAATTAATTTCTGATCACCTCTCTTCTTTCTTAATAGGGCCAGATGCAATCAGAAATCAAAAAGTCACAATTCTTAATCCAACCTATGTTGGTATTGGTACAATGTCTCCTGAGGGGACAAGTAATGTTGATTATCTATGGAGACCAGGAAGGGTGAGTGCAGCTAGATCGTAACCCCCTTTCCTTTAAATCAATTCATGTTGAGATTAGGGGGGTGTCCCTCTCATTGCTCTCCAGCGATCACTAGCCTATTGTTTAACTTCACACAGTCTAGAGTCCTTTCATGCCATCACGTAATGCTATGACTTTGATAGGTAGCTTCTCACAGCTTTATGTGCTGTAACTCTTTCTTTTTTATTTCATCCAGAGATGGGCTTATCCTCTACCAAAATCAGCAAAGGTACCTTGACTTTAGTTATGATTATTGATAACTACTTTAAACTAACCACTGTGTTTACATGTAAGGTAGGAGCTATTGGATGGGGATTGCACTTATATCAAGATARCAAGCGATTGAAAAGTGGAAACCAAATTAATGTAAGTTTTGGTATTACTACTCATGCAGGTTTAGCTTGGTATTTCACTGCCTAATTCGATTACAGCAATACATGTATTTATTTTCCATCTTCAGAGAGGAACATTTAGGCAGCAATGTGAAGACAGACACACCCATTTATATCAAAATCCTTGGTAAGTTATTAGTAAGAAACAGCTKGGGGGCRTCAACCCACCATGTATAACAAAAAAATTAYACTTTTAATATTTTTTTCCAACAAGAAGGGTTGCTAAGAACAATGTCAGAGAGACATTCTTATAGAACTGTGCATTTACCTGTAGGTACCCCGACATGCAAAGTGAAGATGGCCTGCAAGGAGCAARTGATGGTAATGATGATAATTAAGTGTTCTCATGTTCATTTTTCAGTGGTCAGATTTCATTGTTACTTTCACATTATAATTACTATAGCTAAGTTATGTGTCCAACAGGGAAATGTAGTCAAAGTTTTTGTGTTGTATTTCCAGGAAATAGGTACCAGGAAGAAACTGCTCCCCCTTGTTCTAGAGAGAGGTGTCTGTCACGGCAGAGAGCACTTAGCCCTGGCTTATATCGATCACATACTCCTTCACCTCGTACTGTACATTATGGMATTCAACGWAGAGCTAAGTCCTGYACACCACCTGATGGTCAAAGAGTRCGGTCTGGAACAATGTCAAGTACTGCAACAACGTAAGCATTAAAAATCTACACTTCAAGCAACAATTAACATTTTCCTGAACACAAAGTTATGTTCCTGATTAAATTCTTTTCTTGTAATTTCCCTGTTTGGTGTTCCCTTTCTGGAATATAAATGCTACAACTTGGAATAAAGGAATTCTTAAAAGTAGCAATGATTTCCCTAGTCACTCCTTACATGGCTCTGTTTGCCATGGCAAAAAGAGAACAGCATTACATGGCAATGATTGAAARGGAATGACTAGAATACAAAAATGATTCCCAGCTAGAAACCCATTCCATCCATTCTGCTCACTGGAATCTATTTCTTTTTCAGAGTCCAGAGTCAACTCTATGCAATATAAGAGGCACAACTGCAATAGCTTAATTACAGTATGGATGAATAATTGATCTTTCAAATGTTGACAAAACAGTTGACAAAACAGTTGCTATGACTTCATAACAACACATCAACAAAGTGTGACTACAAGAATTCAAATTGTGAAATCATCTGTAAATTTGTATTTAAATTAGGTTGTTGATAGTGTACTTTTGAATATTATTGCAAGTTGAATTATAATAATAATCATGGTATTTTTGATAAAGTAAATAAAGAGTTAACATGAAATCCTTGTTGGCATATTGTATTAATAGCCTGTTACTTGACTGAAAAATATCATTTGATATTAAATAAAAAATAACTTAATTTTAAAAAAAACATCATGGTGCCCACAAGTCTTGTCCAATTGTCCAATCTTTAAAAAATATTATAATCATGTTTTTTTGGGAAACAATGTATGTGTTTTGAAATGTAAGASATGGTTCWSRGCAARCAATRATCTGGTTTAACTMGACCAAYCATTTCAGTGGGCCTATTTTCTTTTCATTCAAGAAGCTTTAGACTGAGAGGTGGATGTCTCGTGGGACTAAAATACACCATTTGTTTCATAAGCAAGACTTTTAGCAACCACTTGGTCATCTATATATTTTATTTATTAGGTAAAAATATGAAATCAGTCTATTTTACATAGTATGACTGCACACCTACTGAAACAGTAATAAACAATTAATAAAAGATTAATAATACAATGTATGATGAAACTTGACCTAATTTGTAGAATTCCATACAATTTATACCATATATTCACAGTAATTTCCCAATTTATATAAAAAACGTTTTTAATGTACCCTAATAAGTTATTTTCCATAAAATCGTTTGATAGTCATTCATTGAAATATTTATAATTTGACAATAGTCCTAGAGCAAAAAATAATGCTAACCATAGCAAGTAACTTGTAAATTATCATCTCTTTGTTGAGAGCTGATAAAAAGTAGTCAAATCATAGAATCTCGTCAACTATCAGAGATGTCTTGGTTATCTTTACATAAATATTTCCCAACTTCACTGTGCAGTTAGTAAAAAATAACTTTTCATAACTTTTCTGGCATCCGTTTTTTGGCATGAACTAATCAGAATTGTCCTGATTATGTTCCCCCAGTCACASTGAAATTGGGCAACAATTGTATAAATTAACAGGAACTAATTAAAAACAAGTAGATTTAGTTGATAAAGAAGGAATTCTATGAGTCCTGCTAATTGTCAACCAATTTCCAGAAGTCACTTTGAGTACTAGTCATACTTAAATTATTACCTAGTGGCCATAGAAAAGATAAAATTCAAAGCTTTCCCACAATCATAAAAAACCAACATAAATAAGAACTATAATACACACAACATCAATTTACACCATTGCTGTACATTGTATACAAATAATTTATCAGATTTTGGGCAGCTTAGGAGCAGCCACTACAGGATTATTTTGTTCAATTAGTTTACGYCCTTCGCTYTTGTAGTCRTAGGTACAACCATGGACTTCTGCATAACGATGGGTTGCACAGAAAGTATTGCCACATCTACAGAAACAARAGGTTGTTAGTGTGGTATTAAAATCATACTTTACTTGAATGAGATAGGTTTCCCTATCAAATTCATCAACTTGTAAGTAACAATGGAAAATCATAGTAAAGATAAAGTCAATCAGCAAGAGGTTTGTTCTGATTTGCATCTGACTTCCAATTGGACTTTTCTTGTACAAGTTTCTAGTTCTACATCAATTATTGAGAGCTTTGTCCAACAAGTCYGTTGMTGYTTTACCTGCATTGAAATGTTGTTGCYAGTCCTGTCTTTTTACTACAGAAGAAGCACCGTGTCTTCTTTTTACTTTGAACAAGTTGTGGAGGATGTGTTTTGACAGGGGGGAGGTGGTGAGGTGGTGCAACTACAAAGCAACAAATGATCATTAACAATAAACTCATATAGGAAAGAATGAACAAAATTTACAAATAGCTCAATGTATAAATGAAAACTAAGGACCATTTCATATGTCAATCTTTTTAATTTAACATTTAATCTAATTGCTTAATTACATGCAGTTCTCGAGAAATTTGCAGTCTACATCGATTGATATTTACAGATTATAGTAAGTTTGTCCAACTGAACAAAATCTTGTAATGTCAATAAATTCAACGTACAAAATGCTCATTAACTCATCTCCACCTATTGGGTTAAACTTGACAAAAGATTGATGTCTAAAATGGCCCAAATGTATAAATTTGGGGTAAGATTGCAGCGCCAAAGAACATTGCTGGTAATTGGTTGGCTCARCACAGRGTGACTCTAAAGAAYRAGGMATAAACAATAGAGCCTATTGTTCTAGCCAGCCAATCACAATGACTTTTATTTAGAGCTGCGAGACCTCTGTAAATTTGACACYAACCTGCTTCATGGTTGTGTCGATTTTTGTAACTGCTTGAACCAATCTAGAACAAAAACATTAAATAGAATAAGTTAGCCTACTAAGTAAGTTATCTATGACGAGTTTTACATGCAGTAACTCACCCTCATGCCATGGTAATGAACATCAGGCGTTTCACTCTCTTTTAACCTTGTAATACCAGCACTACCAGATGATATATCACCTCTATAATTCCCCTGTAAATATTCCTCAGGTATTCTAGATCTCCGTAAACTACTGCTACCAGACAAGTATTCTAAATTGTCCTTATAATGAGGACTAGAAGTTCTATGCTCCTTAGAGCTTCCTTTAGACCGCCGTATATGAGGACTTCCTGGTATACTATAGTCCACAGAATCCCCATATGGAGAACATGAAGTTCTATTAGTTTTTGTATTAGTATTTTTGGGTTTTGATATRCTCCCAAGTGGTTTAATTTCTTTTGCATCTTTTACTAGTTCAGAGATGCTCCTTCGGCCATCTTTAAAAGCACTTCTTGTTAGAGATCTATTAAATGATGAAACTTTGGGTTCTTGAGAACTGACAAAAAAGTCAGATACATCRATTTGTTTGCCTTTTTTRGTGTTGACTGGCGGTAGAGGTCCTTTTCCCTTTGTGGTTTCTCCCTCTGTCTTGGCTTCATTAGCTTCTAATGKGGCAGGGGGGAGGGGAGGTCGAGGCTTTGAATGTGACTTGTCTGTCTTTTTTGCATTCAAGGCATTTGGATTTGTCCTTTTGTGTGTTGCCTCTGAGAGATGTAATCTGAWGAATGAATGGATTAAGAATATCATATATTGAACTGAAAACTCTAATTAATCTGAAAAATAAATTTTTAATAATAAAAAGCAACATACTGGTAAATGTACATTTTTGTAATAAGAATAAACAGAATATCATAATAATAATAATATTTATTTATATAGCGCAGTATTCAACATTACCGTTTTCACATGCGCTTTACAGTTCCAAAAGAAAAATTATATATATGATAATCTAATCTACATCTCAAAGCATTACACATGTAAACAAAAACAAATACGGTATTCATCACTTAATGATTTTACCCATACCTTCGCCGAGCACTAGCCACACCRGTTTTAGGTTTATCAACTGCTGGTGGTGGGTGTGGAGTTAAATCAGGCTAATGAAAAAGAAATAACAAATAAATGACGGGTTTTTAAGGATAGATAAATAAACTACAATTTCATAAAAATGGCAAAACAATATACAAAACAAAGATCAAAAACTAAATCACTTATGCTTATTGGAGAGAATTGTGCTTCAATGGGAGCTGAATGAAGGTTAGATGAAAGAATCTCACATAGTAAACCAGCTTACAACTACATGAGACAACACACAAACACTCTATTCTTTTATGAAAGTGGAGCCTGATTCTTCATAAATGCTGCATTGATAGAGAGTGATAGAGGTACATGTACATACAGCTTGATAAACAATATTATATTTTTGTACTATAAAGAATCAACCCAACAATAACCTTCTCTAGAGCAAACACAACAATGGAGGCATTTTTTACAATTTCTTTGCGCAAAASATCTGTATTCTGCATCAGCAAACTGACATGCGTTGATGGAAGCTGATCATGAAGAATGACATGAAATGAATAAATGAATGAAGGTATGAACAATGGATAATGACAAACACATGCATGCATGAAATGAACAAATGAATGGGACAAATAAAACAACGAAAAGAATGAATAAACAAACAAAATAAGAAAGAGAATGCATAAAAAAATCTAAAAAATTCAAACAAATGAATTAATAAAAAATGGGTAATGGTGAAAGGATGGATGAATGATGAAATAATGAATGAACAACATGTCAAAAGGATGAAATATGAAACTAGTGCATGAAAAAACAAACAAACAAAGGTTCAAAGCTTTGTTTAAAGTTTTTTTCCTTTTACTTTGTCCAATAAAATATATACAAATATCATGTGCAAAAACACTTGTATAAGGACAGCTGATGAAAACAGGGCAAGCACCATGTTAAGCTAAGTACAGGTTAAAATTCTGCAGGCAATCTAATGTACTAAAGAGAAATGAAAATACAATAATCACCTTGTTAACCTTTTGAGACTGTAGCTTGTGTCTTAACAGTTTCATTTTATTCATTGTTACTTTGTTTTCTTTCATTGTTTCCTGGGAAACAGGTTTCTGTGAGTCGTCGTCTTCTTCATCATATAAATTGTACATGGATGCACCACTAGTAAAAACAAAACAGACAGTGATGTWAGTACAAAGGAAGCCCAWATAGTAAGGAAAGGATAAACGTTATTAGAAAGAAAATGAAGTATGGYATCMRAAATTAATCCTGCATGCATGCTCCTTTCATTGGTGATAGAACATGGCTTGAGTGTCACTGCATACAATTTTGATCAATTTATATAATATAAAACCAAATAAAGTTTATATCACTTGTTTTAAGTAGATGTTGCACAAGCCATGTTGACGGTATTTAAGCATTACATATAAAGATTAATATTGTTCAAGGCACCAATACACCATAAACATGGCTGCTTATCTTTTATATAAACTTACCTTAAAGAGTCAGATAATGGAGTGAGGGTGCCATCACCTCTATCAACAACCCTGAAGAAATTCAACTGATCGCCATCTCGGAACACTAGTAAGGTCACTTGACGATTATCTTTGGGCAGCCGATCCCATATTTCATCCCTAATAAAAATAAACCATTCCATGGTTACAATACAATGTAACGGTCATGTGTTTGTACTGGAGTACAAAAGGTTTGTTCTATATATATTCAGGAATGAATGAGATATCAGTTAGGACTTACTGGTTGGCTTCCATATATTCTGCCATCTCCTGTAAACTAGGGTCTTCCATAGGAACTGTGAAAAACAATTCAAAAAAATGTTAAATAATGATGGGGTAAGTAGCCAACCCAAGAAAACCAAGTGAAGGAAATCTGATGAAGAGTACTTTGAAACAGTTCCAAAACTCCTTTGAAATTTCAAGTACACCAAGCAGTACCCCTCATCATGTGTAGATATTTTAAAGTTAAATGAAAATTCTCCTACCTCGACGTGTATTAATGGGCCCTCCTCGCATAGCAAGAACAAGTTGTAAAGTAGCCCCATCACAGATGCTAAATGAAAAACAACAATTATAAATAGAAAGAAACCCAGAATTATCCAAATATAAAGGACTTTTCTTKGTCTAAAATCCTTCCATGATGTAATATTATTATATATTTAACTGACTACAAAGGAATCTGSTGCTTATTGTATAATAAGGGCTTACTTATAATCATGAAGACAAAAGTCATCGATTAGTTCCACAGATCTCCAGATTAGGTGTTGCTGTGAAATAGGAATCCCTAGTAGAGAAATATAATAAAAATTGTAAGTATAATATATAGTAAAATAGCACAAATGTTAGTATGAATACATGTACATGCATTTGATCTAATGTCATGTTACAATGAATGTTTGATAAAGTGACTCATTACTTCAATTGTCATTAAACTTGACATGTACATCACTGTATTAATGCAGCATTATAAAAAGGCTCTTGATTTAATTTAACACATACATATATGTATTTTTCTATACGTAATTAAACTGAAGCAAATAAAAATAAAAGTCATACAATTATTGACAGCAAGTATACTATATTTCAGATATTTGTTTAATATAGCATTGTTAAAAACTAATTGCATGATACCCGTGCACCTGGTTTTTAGTTTACATCATTGACTTGTATATTRTATGCATTGTCAAGATCTGATATATTATGAATTTATAAGTTGAACTTTTGAGTATGATAACATTTTTGAATGTTACARTGTTGGACCAGAATGCTGCCTTAGAGTAGATTCTTCAAATTTTAATCTTCCACTATGTACAGTGTACATAGATTGTGTATAAGCGTGATCTAGAAGGAAGCATTGCCAAGGAGATTGGCAAACAAAACACTGTTCTTTTCAGCTGTGCTTTTACCTCTTCCTTCCAGTTATATTAAACAAAGTATAAAATATGYACCTAAAATTGTTTTACACAATTACAGTATTATTATCAACTTAATGGTAAAAAATAAGAAATATGAAGCATTACAACAATACTGTTAGAAGAAATGGCAACAATATACCTTGAAAGGTTATAGAAAATACTGAAAAATTATCATCAAATGATATCATGTTACTCTTCTCGAAATAATTTGATGATCAAAAACTGTTGACTCCATTATCTATMAAATACCTCATGTACTTATGAATTWAGCAAAGTCAAAATAATTAGAGTAGAAATCTATATRTGATCTCAATTTCAAGAAAGTGTTCACACATGAGAGAAGCTTTATATCTTTCAGTTGAGTCAACTCAAATTTCCTTCGCTTTCAAGAGTGGTACAAAAGAACAAGATATTTTTAGAGCTAGATACCATGAACATTATTTTGACGAGAAGAATATTTGTTGTTTTTTTTTTCTCGTATGCAACATCATTCGTGAATTATTAAGCAGTCAAASTTTTCGTATTCCCAAAGTAAATCTAAGCAAGCAACGTCGTGATTAGCTCATTTTATCAAGTGTTAGACGTCTAGCACCATAGATYAACATTTCYGATTTTACTTTGAGCATCTACTATCTCATGAAGCAWGTATAATCAAACTTGCGCGAARTCGTGATCAATTCCAATGCTCTATACCCAAAAACAACAAACAGCACATCTCACCTTCCAGACGCTGAATCTTTGCTTTAATGCTCATGATTGTTTCGAAAGGACTAACTCTCAGCTCAAACGCTGTCCCAGTTAGTGTATGTATATAAAGATCCATTGAAAGACCTAGAAATCGTCGAATTTCGACGCCAGTTCACAATGATATTTTCGTCACGTACTGCAAATTTGCAGAGCCAGCGAAGGCACTTCGAACGGACGAAAAATAGTCCATTTTCGTTGCGAATAAACGGGAAAATATATCACCAAGGCATCCTAAAGGATTCTTCAGTACTCCCAAAATTACAAGAAACTCAATTAAAACCAAACGCGAAGACAAAAACAGCCAAAAAGTGAGCCACACTTCTCTACCTCACAGCCATATTCGATGCTTCGTCTTCAGAATTCTTGAATATCCCGGATGTGAAATTGTTACCATAGGAACTWGCTCAAYACGATTTCCCGCGTAAACAAAGCATAATTGACGCGCCAAATTRTCCAATCAMAAATCAGCTTTAAGATGGAAAATTAAWWTCTTTAAACAGCGTTATTAATTCTTGTAAGTGGCTTTTGTTCCTTAAAAACAACTAATCCAAGCATGTTTGATGTATCTAGGCACTAAATTTTATACAAATACAGAGRCTGGTTGACCYGTTTCCTTTTGGGTAGAGTTACATGTCAACCTGGAAAAATTTACAGGGATAATYAACTTATATTTAAAAAAAGAAATTATATTTTTGCTGTTAAAGRTTTGCAGCTTATGAAGTGTTCTTTGTTTTCCCTAATTGAAGCAATTAATGGACAAAAAGTGATATTTATGGAATCAAAACAATGTGKGAATGGGTAATRTGGGAATGTTTACTGGCCAACAGGYATATTAAACAATTTAACCYCCTTTGATTTAACTCATTTTAGTTAATGATCTTCATTAAGTTTATGGAGTGCATATGTGAGAAAAATCAGTAATATAAATTATTTTTAACAATTAGACCTCGAGGTCGAGTGGACTACGAGCTAATAGCCCATGAGGCCGAGTCTGCGAGGCCGAATGGGCTATTAGCTCGTAGTCCATGAGGCCGAGAGGTCTAATTGTTTTAGTATAAACATACTAATCGGTCAAATAATGGAAACAAATTGAAATATCCTTAAAATATTTTATAATTTATTGATTTTGATTTTGAGCGAGTGGTCTATCACAAATTAGACCATTAGTAGAGTAGCCAATCACAGTGCAGTATGAGTGATAGACCATTAGTATGTTTATACTAAAAGAAAGTTATACATGGATGCTGGCATTTTGTTGGAAGAACCCAAATATAATAAGCAAACAAATATTATTCCAATAGATTCCCTTTTCATATACCAAACGTTCTCAATCTATGTAGTATAAAATAACACAAAACATTTATAAAAATTCACACATTTTTTATTAAAATTGATCCCATGTTATCCACTGTGAGCTGGCYTCAATTRTTACTTAAAATTTGGCTTGTCTGTAAGTACAACTCCAGAYTGCTGAATGATATAATTGGCTGCCCAATGGCCACAGCGAACACAATCATCAATTGTCTTTTCTTGAACTAATTGGCTCATAAAYCCTGAAAAACAACAATATTAAACTCAATGCATAATTCTCTGACCAATCAATCTTAATCTAAATATGCAATGAAAATCACTGTCCTCAAATTAATAGTGTTTGCTCTACTTGTTTTATACACACTGCATCATTTAGAACCTCCTAATCAACTTATAACAACACACATTAATGCATTAATATTCACTTTTACCATAGTCAGTTACTAACTATGCCTAAACCATCTTTTGGAAGCTATTCTGTGCCTTACCATACTGTAAGAAAGATGATTTCTTATTGTGCAATGACAGAAACCTTCTTTTACGGTGTTAAATCATAGTAAAATTATGTTTAAATTAATCTTTTTACATAACTGTTTCTTTAGAAACACCAATGGAGCTCACACTAGTTTACTGCTAGTTCCCACCATAGAAACCTTTTTTGACAACTACAGACAACATTTATTCCAGGTTGTTAACTCTAACTTTTATGTAAAGTTATGGTCTCCTTCAAGATGTGGCTGGAGACTGTTAAGGAGACTATTTAAGCAAACAACAGCAAACAATTTGACATGTTTATGTCTGCTAAACATGATCTTAACTGACCTCCAACAAAGGCATCTCCTGCACCATTTGTATCAATGATGTCGTCCTCTTTTATTGCTATTACTGGAAATTCCCTTACTTCTCCATCTAAAACAAGATTCAAAGTAATGCAAGTTTAGAGAGTGTCTAATCATTACAGACTGTTTTGAGTGCAAGTGATCATGAAAAAATACTTTACTTACAAATAGAATCAACAATTATTCAATATATTGTGAAAAACTCCACTTTGCTAATGCCATAGATCAGCCTTAGCCTCCGTAGCAGACGTTCCAAGCGGTTCGATTCTCTCCCGCAGATTCTCTCGAACCGCTTGGAACGTCTGCTACGGAGGCAAATAGAGCCTCAGATAAAAGGATATGGGAACACAGTTTGTTTGTAGGTATGGTTAACTTACAATAACAGCAAGAATCTAACACTATTATACAGACAGACATACTTTGAACTACTATTGTTGGTTCTTTCCCATGAGTGATGACTACAATGCGAGGTTTCTTCTCATTAGCTTTTGGAAGAGTAGCAATCTTCTTAGCTATCTCTTTCAAATCTTCAGTCTGTGTAACAAGAATGAATTTTTTTTATAATAATATTCTGAAAGTGAAAATTTCACTGCACTGGGTTGATCAAAGGAGATCAAAGCTTGATTACTGCTAATTCTGGGTTAAGCTTTAAAAAAAAGGTAATTAAGAGGTAACTGAAACTATATTTGAAACAAATTTTGTTTATATTGCACACATTTTTTACCTCGTATTTGTGTGTCTTTGCAAAAACAGCTAATTCCTGAAAGACAATGATACAAAGAGTTTCAATTGTTGAATGCAATTGTTWAATAGAGGACACTTTAGCAAGGACATCCTTGTTTTTTCTAGAMAGGATCCACCCTWTGTGAAGAAGGGAAAGGTGGTGTGTGSTGAGTTACAAAGGGWAMAAGATGAACATTAGATGACTATCCTGGTACCATTTGGAACCATTCAAATTAAAATGAAACTCTGATCACAAGYGTACAACTGAGATGGTCCCAAACTTTGACAGCACTGCATAAAATAGTCGTAGTATGCTGTAGGTGTTAAATTTCGTCTTTTSAAAAGAAATTGCAGTTTTTCTTACTGTTTCATTTCCAAACAARATATCAATGTATGGCATGGCTTGCATCATTGGATCCTTGAAGAATTCACACAAGAATGGTGCCGACAGATTCATCATGAAGGTCTGTGTGAGAAAACAAAAAGACAGTTAGTGAAAAAAAACTCTCACTTGTTATGCATTCTAGCAATATCTTTGACATTTCATCGCCTGGCTTGATGAAGCTTGATGATGTTTGATATCACATCAAAACTATTAGATGCAGGGCTGGGTTGATCAAAGCCTAGTTAGCCTTAATCCAGGGTTAACACCGTAGGATTATTAGAGTTAACACAGGATTAGTGCTAAATGACCTTTGAACAACCTCGCCTAGGTGTTCAAGCATTCTATCCATGGTGTTATGTGGCGTAACTGACCATTGTAAGTACTCTTATCTGCATTTGATATTTTTTGAACTGGATGAATGTAACACAACCCACATCAYCACTACTATTTACATCATACCTTATTATTATCAGCAGCATGTTTTCCCACTGCTACTATGGATTCAGGAGATACAGTCAAGAAAAACCCCTATCAAGAAAAGGATAAAATAATTAAAAAGAATACATCAAACGCATGAATCAAACATGAAATTAGATGATTATTATGAGTGGGTGCCCTGGGTGAGTTGGGTTCCCTGTGGGTAAGTAGTAACTCAACWYGAGAAAGTTCATTGTCTTGTTATCTAACTAAACATCAGGTGAGCATTTTTATATGATTTGCTATGGCATGGGGTGAGCATATTCGTTGTGTATTTATAATATACTCACTGCAATGTAAAAATATTTGGCTTGTTCCACTAAACTCCAGTTCTCTGGTTTATCTAAGTGATCCTTGGAGTAGTGATTAGCAGCACCAAGGTTTGCAACCAAAGACCTAAASAAAAACATTGCCAAATAGTTACAATTATTCATAATATTTAAATAATACAATATAAAGATAATAATCATTACCTATGTTTGTCAGTAATACATACAGCACAAGTACCGGTGGGTACATCTGGTTTATGGAGATAATTCACATGTACTCTTCCATCAGTCATTATCTTGGTAAGAGTTTTGCCATACTCATCTTGACCTGATGCAAACAACATTCCACAAAACATTAAATTCCACTTGGACAAAGAGGTCCTAATTAGAAACTTTTCAAATATTTTATGAACATTCAACTAATCAAAAACGTGCCAGGAGAATTTTTGTGTGGTTGCCATCTATAGAGTAGAAAAATATTAGCTCAAAACATGAAATAATTGTGGTGGATTGTAATCTAGCTTTAGCATAAACTATGCTACGAGCACAYTTTATTTGAAKAAAAAGATTATWGAAAMATAGCCKSACAAGAAYGCAATAGKCTATAGTACTTCACTGAATTCTGACAAACTGCAATATTTGAAGTTGTTAACAAAAAATAGTGCGTAGTACTCACCAATACAACCCATATATGCTGTAGCTTTATCTTCAAAAAACCACTAAAAATTATACATAAATATATGGAATAATGATTAAAAAGTGAAAAAATACATGGAATTTAGGAATGGATGAATGATTAATGGAAGACATAACATTTAATGAGCAGAGGAAAAGGATGAAATGGATAATAGATGAATGAAATAAAGAAAGTACGGAATGCTAGATAAGATGATGGTTTGACTATTTTGTGATAAAACACTCACCTGTAGCACACGCATACTGTTTTGAGTGGCTCCACCAGGGAGATAATCAAACTTATAATGGTCAATTAACTCTTGATATCTGTTGACAACAATCAGCTTTCTGTGACATCATAGAATGTGGATACTGCCATATTGTCAAAGAAAAATGCACAGAAAAGAAGATAGCAGAGCATATAAATATTACAATCTTGGGCTTCCTTTGTASTATTGAGCAATGATTCAGGTCAGTCCCTTGATTCAAACACCAGTATTATCCAGGAAGCCCAAAGTTGTGGTATGCTCTATAAACCACATTTGACTTACATTGGTAAATGCTTTTCATCTGCTAATATAGCATTATTGGCCTCAAGGTCATACCTACAAGAACAAGCAAAATGATATACCTAAATGKCTACTAGTTGTTGTTCATATGGTGCAGAGTACATTTGTCTGCCTCRTAGATAAGGTTTTTGTGCACATTTAGTCTGTAATATTCAGCAAGAAATTAGTTAAGACACCATACTTACTTTTGAAGCAACTTGCTATCTACAGGTGCAGATATGTCTAAAAGTGGATTTCCCATTCCAAGAATGAGGCCCTCACTAAATAACACAYGATCCCAGTTAATTCATATATTAATTAGCAAATAAGTGAATCCATCCATTATGCAGTGAAAGATTATTTCATTTAGCAATACCACTATATGTAAAGGCTATAAGCATATTGTGAATCCACTAAGTCTTATGTTTTCTARGGGGTTCATGGGCCGTCCCGCATGAGGACATGTATTATATTCTGTTATGACGCAAGCTGTAGYATTGGAATATAATGGTACATTAATTGTTTTGTTAGACAATAATATTCAAGTAGTATATCTGTTGCGCTAAGGAATATGCAGCGGGTCAAACTGCGCATTTCCCGCCATAAACCCTCCAACTGACTAGATCAGTAAAATAACTGCACGTGAGAAATTGTACGTTAAATAACTTATAAGCTTAGGTAATATTTCGACACAAGAAATTAATAGCCTCCAAAAAAAATAACTGAATATAAACAACAAACATAAAGTCCAGTGAAGATATATTTTAGGTATTTGCCTGCATAAAATGAGTTAGATATTCAAACYTTTCGCGATCATGCAGCGTTATTTGAGACTATGTCACGTAACAACAGAATCGTGATACAATGTAGCTCGTTTATTTCATGCAAAGACCGTCAAAAATTGTAAATAGCAACTCAAAACTTTATGAAAAACAACTTTACTTTGTGTAGTTAATTCAAGGTGAAGGAATAGCTTGATAACTTACTAAATGTTGGTTTTAGACTTCTTAGCTTCAGGCGCCATCTTTACAGTGCAGAGTGAAGGTTCAAAAGGACGATACACGTGCCTCCTGTGGGGTGGTAGCTACGTCATAAATGTCACTCAAAAATTGTCTCATGGGAGGGGGAGAGGCCGACAATATTTGTTCGATGACTAGGCAAAACTCACGTAAAAGATGCTATTGTTTGTAAGACTTGGAACCTTCTTTAGAAACAATACAAATCATATTGTACAAATATTCTACAAATGAGCATAGTCATCAATATAAAAAGAAAGTAAACAAATTATTGGAAATAACWGATTTTCCTACTGCTTTAAGAATAGCAAATTGCTCAAATGTTTCACCCAAAATAGTCAAACTATATATAGATACATGAGTAGATTATTTTCATAATCATTATATTTTTTTAAAATTTTATGTAGGCACACCTTTTGTCCGAGAAGGCCTTGGCTTTACATACGTCACGTGACGAATGACGGTACCGGTGGATGTCGGTCAAAGCGAGTGCGTATTGTGTCCGCCATTTTTCGAGGAACATTAACAGGAAGTTTGGCAGGAGAGATTGAATTCTGCTCTTTTTGTGGAGTTCGCTTTGATCCACAAGAACAAATTAAAAGATGGCACTCAAAAGAATCAACAAAGTAAGGAACGGGCTTGACCCTGGACGGTTTTTTGTTGCGTGAAGCCTTTGAGTTAGATGGAAAAACGTGTTCACGGGTTTGTGACTTGAAGTAGTGRCCCCGACAAGAATTGCTGCAACTCCCGTTTGTTGGCGTRTACATCCTKGAGAAGCCATTTTTACAGTTCTTATATATTGTTGATGAAGTATACTAGAGTTTGGATTGTAAAATTTGTGTTCTTTTGCGACAGGAACTTCAAGATCTCGGTCGAGATCCTCCAGCACAGTGTTCTGCCGGTCCAGTGGGCGACGATCGTAAGTGCAAATTCCTCACAATACTTCGTCTTTCTTGGCACAATTTTCTWTTTTATTGGCTAATTAACTAGTATGTTGTACATTTTGATCCCTCGACTACCTATGACAAAAGTAGCAAGCTAATAGCAAGTGATTTAGAGCTGCAAATTAAGCCAGAATTTAAAGCCACTTCAATTTTTCACTGTAACTTACACATTTTGTCCTCGTTTTTCCTCTAGTATTTCATTGGCAAGCTACAATAATGGGTCCGGTAAGTATTTTCTTTATTGAGAAAAACACCTAAATGTATATAAATGGCTCTGTTTGCCGCATACAATTCAAAATATATCTGATTTTGTGTTTCTTGCAGCCCGACAGTCCATATCAAGGCGGTGTATTTTTCCTAACAATTCACTTTCCCACTGATTATCCATTCAAACCTCCAAAGGTATGTGTGCTTTACTTTATTTTTAATAACCTATAGTCCAATATATCGAGTGCATTCCTTCTTGTGATCGAGTAACGGGAAGAAAATGTAAAATCCAACTGACAAATKCTCGAAATTTGAAGAGCAATTCACCATTTCCGCCGAAGCGAAGTTAAGCAAAAWTCCCTTCAAACTTTTTGTTTTATTTTTGCTTTATATGCGAAAATCGGCGTTTATGYACTTTCATTTTCTCTATAKTTTGTGTARTTGCTTAAAAGCAGAACGGAAACATAGTTTTTTTGTACTTTTGTACAAACACAGCGTTCAACGTTCGTCATATATTTGAACTTCTTGAATTTTCTCATACGATTTTTCTCAAAACCACGAAAGGTAGTGYTTCCAGTTCTACTGATACTACTAAAAGATATTACAACAAAGATATATAAATAAATCGTGAACCTTGATTTTRACATCGAGGATTGTAATCAAAGTGAAACCATTGTGGTTAGTTTCTAAGACTGCATGCATTTGTCAATTTAATTTCGCAACTTCATTCCGAGGTTTTAGCTATCATTGTTGTATTTCCAATTGTTCCTCCGTTTTATTAATCAGTTAATAGATAGAAAGCTTTGAATATTATCCTCTGTTTGTGTTTTGACTTAAAACTATTAAAGATCATCGCCTAAAAGAAGGAACTCGTAATGCTTAACAACAGGCATAGCATAAATAACACAACTATGAAATCAACGCTTGCCACCAAACAGAGGTTCATTTCATGTTGTAGACCMTTCATCAGCTGACACTGCAGTGAAATCAAGCACTTTTTGGCATCATTTTCTTTTGAAAATCAAAGTTTTTGAGAATTGATAATTCCTAATATTTGATTTTAAGAGATTCTGTCAAAACACAAAATACTGCTCATATTTTGAGTTTCACAGWAAWGAAAATCTTGCTTTTGATGGAAGTGAATTTGGAAATGTAACACAGTTTTAATTGTTTAAATCATTATGATATGATGTTATTTTTGCTCACAACCAAACATAGAATTATACATATTGTCAATTCACTCTAYAATATTACCTTGATAACCCCTTGTCTGGGTACCATAAACTCCAAAGGTAACTTAGCACTGTGGGGGTTTCTTTGCTGCCAACCCTGAAATCATGCAACTGTAGACTGCCTTTAAAACATGATTTCTCATCCAATGAGAATCMAGAAGTGTCAAAAAATGTTATTCAAAGGGAAGGTACACTAAAGCAAWGTTTTTTCCTYCCTGGACAAGCCACAACAGATTTCTGGTGCTKGTAGTATGAGGGGTTATCCACCATTCCATAGATTTTGTGTGGATTTTATCCGTTGRATAGGGATATACACCTAATGATAGGATCCGTTCAACTCTTCTTGGTTTTTCATTAAGAAAAATGAAAAATTAGCTAAATCTTGTTTGTTGTTTTCCTCATTGATATATATTAGCTTACTGAAGTGTGCTCATTAAATAATTTTTTTTATACAGCTTGCATTTACTACAAAAATATACCATCCGAACATCAACAGTAATGGCAGTATTTGTTTGGACATACTAAGATCTCAGTGGAGTCCTGCATTAACAATTTCAAAAGGTTTGCACACTAAATAGTATAAACTAAAGAATGTTGTGTTATTTTATCCATTCTTCCTACCGTGCATCAAAGTATCCTCTATAAATTTTTCTTAGCAAATAATAATCATCCACTTTCTTTTTGTTCTTTCAGTTCTTCTATCTATTTGTTCACTACTGTGTGAYCCCAATCCAGATGATCCCCTTGTGCCAGATATTGCACGCATATACAAGTCAGACAAACCTAAATACAATGAGTTAGCCAAAGAGTGGACGAAAAAGTATGCAATGTGACGATGGCACTTTAGATACAGCTTAATCAATGTATTGTGACTTGATCATTGTCYTGTTGAGCCTAGACACCATCTTGTTGTTGCATATTGTTGTAAATGTCTGTCAAACACTGTATTGGATGTCTGAGTGTGTGTGTGTGTCTGTGATTGTTTGCATTAAGTGTAGGTGTCAATTATTTCAGGTACCTCGTAGTATATTATAGCATATACTTCAAATAATCCACTCTGACAAATGAAACACTAGATCAAGTTCTAACGTAGGTCTCCTTTTTATGTTGTTTTCTATTTTCGTTATTCCTTTCCTCTCTGGAATTCAACTGTAAAAAGTATTTAGTAGTGAGATTTATATAACATGTATTAATAAAAAGTGCTCAAAATACTGAATGCAGAAATAGCTACTATTAATATCCAAGTAAAATCAAGTCCATTATTATAAAATTGCACAAATTGCACAAAGTAATAAAATTGTATTGATACTTCTCATCTAGAATGATCTAGAATCATGAGTCATCTAGAAACAAATGCAGTTTACAAAAAATGTGTCTTGCATCTGGCTTGATATAGATTCAGACAACTCAGGTTTACTTTGAAAAAGGGATTAGTTGCTACAATATAATATTGATAAAGATATTGGTCACATGGTTATTTTTATTAAAAACATCTACAATGTAGTGGCGAATATCAGCARTGATAAATGGTCAGATCTTTGTAATTAAATACCAGAAGTAGAAGCTGTTATTGCATTTGGTAAAGATCCAGTGCATATTTCAATTGTATTAAATATATACCTTTTGTGTACATGAGAAGGATAAATACGTACTGGATAATAAAGTGAGTACAAATTGTTGTGACTACAGTCTCATATCAGATTATTGAATTTATATGTTGGTAATAATCTATTTGTCACTAACTTGTCCAATAAAACATTATTACTACTGCAGTTTTGTCTTTGAAATGGAAAGTGCGTATAGGTTTGGCTATTYGTCAGGCCATGTACAAAATTCCCCATGTTACATTGCAAATGCAGAGTAAGAAACTTGTTAGMTCTGTCAGCAAAGACTTTCAGTCTCCTCTGGTAGCAAGGAACAAGATCTTCATTCAGTATTGGGATTTTATTTTATTGTATAACTAAAGACTGACTCTATTATAAAAGGGGGGCAGTGGTCTTTGTCATCCCTTTTAGTGTTTGAAAGCAGTGTTTTAGTCTCAGGATCAGCTGATTTTTGTTTCCCTCTTTTGGCCCTATAAAGCCAACATTATAAGATTTGTGTGATCAGACAGTGCTAGCCTGAAGGGTCAAAGAAGATGAGGAACCCAAACCATATTGACGGGTTATTGATTGGTCCCTTTTATAACACAGTACGAAGGGTTATTGATTGGTCCCTTTTATAACACAGTACGATGCCCCTTCGTCAGGGTTTCCCTCAAGCAGTGCACTGCTGCGTATGCTACTAGTTTCTTGATTGGTTGATGTTGCAGACTTATGGAGTTGTTATTTCAGTCCAGCAACACCATGTTTGTCTGTAGAAACAAAAGATGTTTGTTCTTAATGTAGACCACAAATATGCAGTGCACGATGCTATTAATGAAAAGTTGTTTCCCATACCCTCTCATAGATGACTAAATTATGCTAATTCTATTGTTTTCTATAGTTTAATTAACACTATTTTGTAGTAAATAGTGGTAAGTGTTGCACACATTTAATGTTTGTACTCTACCATACTCAACCACAAGTGGTTATATTTTCAAATAAATATAATTTTATGACAGAAACTACAGACTTTTCATAAAGGTTTTGAGTTTATTTCTAAATTACAAAAATTTGAGTTACAATAGTGCAATAAAATATGTCTGTCTTGTCCATGTTAGGTATGTAAGTATCCTCTGTAAAAAAATAAGAAAATATGTCAGTGTAATGTTATAGTATATTATTATATAGATGATTTCTAACGTGCGCTCTGATTGGCCAAAAAAAGTGTGGTTTATGAGAGTAAAAACCATGATTGTGTGCAAGCGATTTTTGAAAAAGGCAAGAAAATGGATTTTTGCTTAAGTTTTGCTCAAAATCTATATAATAAAACAAATAAATAAATATCCCTTGTTAACCAAGCAAAGGTCACTAAACCAAACCTATTATTTACAAATATTTGACACATGAAATGATAGAGACTATAAAATAAAATCAAGATCTACTTACGGCAACTTCATTCTCATAAATACTCTGCAAGTGAAGAATGAAATAAGAACACATACAAAGCCAATGAACAGTAGGAGGAAGCGATTCAGTTTAGGCATTCCYGGGGCATTGGATCTATCTAAAATAATGAAGCCAATTCCACCCATGGAGAACAGAAAGCTTGATGCAAGACCTTCCATGATGTACTGGCCATTTACACGRTAGGGCATAAAGGCAACCTGAAAAACAGACAATAAGTATTATATAAYCAAGTAACTGGTCTGGAACCATTCTCGCACCAGATCCTTCTAGAAGATCTAGAATCTGGATCGATAGATCGAATACATGCATACTGATGGTATGTGGGAATTTTTAAACCAATCAAATCAAAGCCTCACTTGTATCCAACAGAGCCTTTGATTTTGCTTTGGGAAACTGAGAAGGATCTGGGTTAGAGAATGGGCAGACTAAAGTGGGTTTTACAAATTACCAAAGAAAAGTTTTCCTATCAATTGTAAGGTCTACAAATGTAAAATGTCTCTTCATTTCCCAATGGTCATTACAAGGGCTGACCAGTTGATTATAAATYTGTTGTCACTTTGACTGAATTAATGATAAATTGATGATGAATATGAYATGATAAATTGATGACAGTGTAACTTACTGGCTTGCTGTGTCCATGCTCGTCTGTAGTACTTCCAACACTTGGCGGCTCAACAATAACATCATAGATAATACCTGYAAACATTAATATAGAGCCATACCTTTACTAAATACCATTCTGACATTGTTCTATCATCGGTCTACATTTTAGTGCAAGTGAAGCAAGAGATAAGGGCCAAGATAAGCTTAATTTTCATTCAAGACTCATATGCTCACACTGTCTAACACTTTAGGGTCCTAATATGGACCAGTGCAAGAGCTCAAGTACAAAGGCTATGCATTTTTATTTGCAATAAATTTCATTGGGTTTTTCCTTGACGGATATBATTCAATATTTCATGATAAATCGGTGACCATAATATTTATCTCCTAAATATTCCAAACAATAAATTGAACTTGTGTTTTTGTTTTTGTTTTGTAAGATGATTTTTATAAACCGAGGTTTACAATAAAACACGACAGACTGTGAAAACCTTCTTTTTAGAAATTTAAAGYACTCAGGATAAATAATAGAATGCTGATAAAGTTTCAGAGTATCAAATAAAAGCCACGTCGACCAAAGTTTTCTCAGACTACCCAGTTTTTCAACGTCAAAAAAGGCATTTTTTCGGCTTACCTCCAGTAACTAAAAAGTAGGAAAGAAGGACTAATGCAAAAACAACCATTGCTGAAGGTGGTTTCACCCATGATGGTTTCTTTAGCTTCAAATTGGGAATTTCCAACACGTTGAATGGAATACCAACTAAAGCCTCCATGTTGGATTTGCAGAGAAAGAAAAAGRACTGCGAGAATCTTACCAAGAATCTCATTGGACAAACTCAACCAATCAAAGTCGGTTTAATAAAGAGTTGCGTGACTAAGATGGCAATTCTTGATTGGTGAAAAATTATCCAATGAAAACTCCCCAGAAAAATATTAGATTTAAAGATCCACGTGATTTTTCAGGCATTTGATTGGTCAATTGCAAAAAGCGGTATTTTCAAATCAAGCAACACACGAGATACAAGCCAAGCCAGAGGACATTCGTTTGGACAAGAAGTTATTGAAAGGTAATGCATTTTCCGCAGCTATTTCTGGACTGATCACTTTGATTTTAAGCCACAACGTTATTCGAGCATTCATTTAAGATATGAATTTATTTCTAACGYAAAAAACAATTTCTRATTGAACAAAAATTCATCTGAATGGAAAGGCAACCGTTGACCATCCGCCATGTTRAATCGATCGTAAACACCACAAAAGATGGCTAAATTGGTAGCGCTTCACAATGAAATATCTTCTGGAAAATAATTGATTTTTCAAAGGAGTTTGCTTGTTTTAATCTTAGGCAAAACTGACAGCAATCGGATGAACATTTCGTTTTCTTGAGAACTGCGTTCGAACCCTCKCCTTCTTTCACCTTGAAATTCGACCCTTCAGTGTTATCCAATTTCTCTCTCCATTTCCCTCGTGATGGACTCATTATCAGTGCGTTATTTAGAGCGTAATAATGCGCTTTCTTTCACTAGAGATTTACAAAGTATGTATGTTTATCTGATTTTATATTATATCAGTTTAAGGGTAAGTCTTCAGTCGTACTCAAGATCATCAATCACCAAAATTCATCATGAATACCAATGACTTCATGAAAATTGAAAAGATCGGYGAAGGTACGTGTATGATYTTGGTGTATCTTCTATATGTTTTRTCGTTAATAGGCTTTTCAATCTATTCCTCAAATAGGAACCTATGGGGTAGTCTACAAAGCTAAAAACAGACAAACAGGAAAGCTCGTTGCTTTGAAAAAGATTCGCCTTGAAGTCGAAGAAGAAGGCGTACCTTCGACCGCCGTGAGGGAGATATCGCTTCTCAAAGAACTAAAGCACCACCCGAATGTCGTTGTCCTAGAAAACGTTCTCCATGAAGATTCTAAATTATATCTGGTTTTTGAATTTTTAACTTGCGATTTGAAGAAGCACCTTGATACATCAAAGGGCCCCTTGGATAGGATGTTGGTCAAGGTAATAATGATTATGGCGGCTTTCTCTTTAACTTGAACTCTCAAACAATTGATGTTGTCCATATTTTTCAGAGCTATCTCTATCAGATTACCAATGCCATGTATTTCTGCCATGCAAGAAGAATCCTTCAYAGAGATCTAAAGCCACAAAACTTGCTCATTGACAATAATGGTTTGATTAAGCTAGCTGATTTTGGGTTAGGAAGATCTTTTGGTATCCCAGTTCGGGCATACACACATGAGGTACAATRATCTTTGTGCAAAATACAAAAATTATTAAAAAAGTCCCCTGTGACACTAAAACTGAACAACCTATACTGGTATCTGTTTAATAGCAAACCAAAATGCTGTTTCAGCTTATTTCAAGCAACTTCAAAAACTGGCTCACAACAAAATACTAATGCTCAATATAATCAATAAATGATCTTGGAATTTGATGTTTTTTAGGTTGTGACATTGTGGTACCGTCCTCCTGAAGTCCTWTTAGGTAGCCAGCGCTATGCCTGTCCAATGGATATTTGGGGAATTGCTTGTATCTTTGCAGAGATGGTCACAAAACGACCACTATTTCATGGAGACTCAGAAATTGATCAACTGTTCCGTATTTTTAAGTGAGTGGYCAAAGGAATTGCYAAACATTTTGAATAAACCATCTAACTTATCTTCTTGCTTTACAGAATTTTAGGAACCCCTACAGAAGAACAATGGAAAGGAGTTAGTCAGCTTCCAGACTACAAAGGAACATTTCCAAAATGGAGCGGAGAAGGCCTCAGAAAAGCWGTGCCAAATATTTGTGATGATGGACTAGACCTTCTTCAGGTAAACTACTGTTTTTTGAAGATTYTTTTGTTACTTCACATCAACCAATAGATAAGTGCTATGGTACTGAACAACTTCAATGATTCCATTTCTTTTCTTTATAGGCAATGTTAATGTATGATCCTGCAAAGAGAATATCAGCCAAGAGAGCTCTGAAGCACAAGTACTTTGATGACCTAGACATTTCTTCTCTACCTGAAACTCCAGACATTGCATCTGTCAGCTAAAATTAGTATTTAGACAATATCTTCGCCTTTAAAATGGTTTAWTAGGACTGTCCTTTTACTAGCCATATGACATTTCTTTTGAGAGAAGCTTCAACATTACTTAAACTTGAAAAAAAATTTATCGTGCATTTTGGCTCTGAATATATGTATCATGATAATAATATTATTATGCAGAAATTGAATGCTAGATCTCAATTAACTCAATTTCCAGGATAATCTTAGAGCTAATTGTAGTCAAGTTAAAAGGAACTGTTTCTTCATCTTTAAAAGCACTTTAACTTGTACATATAAATCACACTTAATTATTTGTCTGTATAATATTACATAGTTTTGGCATTCTAGTTTTAATTTCCATGAATTAGTTTATACAAATCCAGAAATTACATTGGATGTTTTTTATTTCTCCTTTGTGTAATGATGACCGTAATGAAAACAAAACTATGCATAAAGGGGTATGAAATATTTAGATAAGGGAAACAGAATACGATATATTATGTTATGTTATGTAAATCATTTTCAAATTTCTTAGAGTGGGGAGGTTCAATCCGTTAAACAAGAACAATATGCAACTACGGCAATGTTATGTTATGTTATGTAAATCATTTTCAAATTTCTTAGAGTGGGGAGGTTCAATCCGTTAAACAAGAACAATATGCAACTACGGCATTTATAAACACCTGAATAATAATGATGAAATTTTTACCTACCTCTAAGAACATCTGTTAGTTGTTATGTAAATAGCTGAAATTATAGCACTGCTGAAAATAAAATACTTGTCAAAACAGATTCAATACTTCAGATTAAAACATTGTTAAAATGGCACAAGTTATTATTCAGTGCCATCTTATGGGAAGGGCAGCAGTGACCTTGAATAAAAGCAAGTCAGTGGCTGAGCTTAGTGATAGATACCACCTTTCTCCAATTTACCAGTACAGATATCTGTCGGCTCAAAACCTGTTTGCCTAGACACAACTACCTAGAAAGATGGATGTGAGAACATGCAAAGGGTATATTGGAACAGAAGGAACCATAGGGAATGTCAGTCATTCCTCATTCCCAGAAAAGATTTGGGACCAATGAACAGTGACAGAAAGTTAATTTAGGTCCCACCGTCTTGTGTGCAGCTGCCTGAGTATCAGGCTCTCTCGGAGGGTAATTGGATGATACTCAGGCTATGTGTGCAGTTGATTAACTTTGAAAAGACTGACAAAAACATCTGCAAAAGAAACTAGTAGTCAAGAACCCTACTCTAAGTGTAGGAATTGAGATTTCCTTAAATTCAAAGTACAAAACCCAGTTTTAATTCAATTCTACATTTCATTCCTTCTGCATTCTAAATATTGACAAGTGATTTCCTCATAATTACCATGATATTCAAAATTAAAATTCAATACACCTCACCAAGTTACAAACTTGGTTCAGGGTACGTATGTTTACATTATAATTAGATTATTACACATGAATTGTCCAAAATTATTGATTAACAATCAAATTTCTCCACATTGGGTAAATCTTTGCATTCTTGAACTCCATTGTGATTAAATAATAGCTGATATATTACTATCGCATTATTAAGATATGAAAAAAATTAAATAGTCAAGTACAAAAGAGCTAACAGTTCAGAGCTTTCATTAGACAAAAGTGAATCCAGCCACTTGGTAAGTGTTGTAGACTTTCTCCATGGCAACTATGTATGCAGCAGTCCTTATATCAAGCCCAAGGTTGTATTCCTCTGCACAYCGCATAAGTTGCTAAAAGGACAAACAAAATTTAGATTAGATAAWGCTRCATGGACATTGCWGGTCTRCCAAATAGGTTGAGTAAATTACTAAGGCTTACATTTGCTGATCTCTCCATGGTAAATTCTAAACCAGAGTGTACAATATCTCGTTCAGAAGCACCCTAAAAATAWATGGAAAACTTACTACAGTGACTTAGTAACAGCATGAATGTTGTGTCAGACTGATGTAACATTATATATTACATGTGTACTGCCTAAAAAAAAGTGATATGGCATGTTAGTAACCAAGATTAACTAGTTTTGCTGATTATTACCGATATCTGCTCTTGGAAAGCTGCAGAGGGTTGGATTGGAATTGATCCAGATTGGAAGTGAGATTCTAAACTTTGCTGTACACTCTCTGTGGACAATATCAATGTACAAATCGTAAATGAGTATTTATACTATAAGGCACAAAATCAAAGCTAAAAACAGCTTTTACTGGTGGTGAACGATGCATGCATACCTAGTAAATGGTAGTTGGATTCCTTTTCATATTTCCAGGTCAGACGACCGAAGCTGACATGGTTAATGTTCTTGAGCCATTCAAAGTAAGACACTGTGACACCACCAGCATTAAGATAAAGGTCCTACAACAATCAYRGATAAAASATTAGCATAAAACACTTTTTCMAACAATTTTTACCAYTGGTTTTTACAGACCAAAACACAGGAAACCCAATTTTCTCMCCTAAAAACCCCCTGTGRTACTTACAGGTAGAACAAGTCTCTTGTTTTCAATGAGAATCTTTTCAGCTTCAGGAGTAGTTGGTCCATTTGCACCTTCAGCAATAACCTGAATTTCAAAGGGGAAATACATTATCAACTTGGATCACTTCTGGCATATATAGTGAACCATTCATTTACTAGACTCATCATCAGACTCAAGGAAATATTAAAATATTATTGCCAATATATACCTTGGCTTTAATCTTGTGRGCATTTGCTTTGGTTATCTGTTTCTCATTGGCAGCAGGAACTAAGATGTCACATTCTGCTTCCAAAAGACTTTCCTCTGTAACCTTCAACCAAAAAAGTGTTATCAATATGCCCTAAATGTCCTAAAATTATCCTCAAAATCATTCGCCATAGTATTTTTTTTTGATAATATTGTCTACTTTTTTGCTCTTGAATGCATTTGTCTGTGTATCGTTTTGAATCTATTTTTTAGAGATATCTTTGAAGAGAGACAATTGATACTTACATTGGCACCTGGAAATCCTAAAATTGATCCATTTTCCTGTAATAATAAAGAAACACATTTTAAGTCTGCTCAATAACCTTAAGAGTTTATCCTTCCTTCAGTAGCATGTTAGTAGGAGAGTAATAATATAGCAAATGTGGCCAGATACTGCTGTTAGATGGTAATACACTTTATATGACGTCCAGCTTTTGCTGTTCTACAGCATCATCAGGACTGACAATAGCAATAAAAATCACAATCAGTATAGATTGCCAGTACTCACCAAGAGATAATTTTCAAGTTCTTTAGGGTCGATACCTTCTCTATTGTATATGTTACCATCACGCTCAATCACACCAATACACTTGGCACCAGCTCTGTGCAAATATCTGGTGCTATGCAAGCCTACATTACCAAATCCCTGAAATCAAAATAGTTCATTTAGCCAAATGGATGCATCTACATGGATAGCAAGGAAAGAAAAGCACTTAGCCAAGTTTGATTCTTATCCTTAATACTTCATTTGACTCTTAGACAATCCTTTTTGATGGTAAGTATTTGGCCAAGTTGTGCACTGGCATGTTGCATAGTGCACACTCTATCATTATTACTTTATCATTTTTACCTGGACAACAAAGGTTTTTCCCTTGACACCTGGTTCTAGCCCAACCATGTTAGCATACTTTTCTGCACAAAAATAATTTTAAATACGAATTAGGATAGCAATTATTTCACAATAAGTAAATGAATGAACAAAAATGTATGGATGAATGCAGGATGGAATGATAGATAAATCATGAACTAATGGTTAGAGTAAAAGATAAATAAACAAAGTATATGTAAACTAATGGGAAAGTAACTATTAACTTACCATTATCTAGAAAGTTTTGAATTCCATGATAAACTCCCTATGAATGGAACAGATGTTAAATAACACCAAAGATCATTACTCTGTAATTCAAATAAGACTTATYAAAAACCACATCATATTATTCATCATAAGCTTACCCTTCCAGTTGCAGACACTCTGCCATGGATACCACCCAAGTGAACTGGTTTACCAGTCACAGAGGCATAAGCATTCATATTTCCAAAACCTAAAGACATTACCCAAAAAACAATCAGTATAGTGTTGGTGACTTTTGTCCAGTCAATGGAAGTTCACTAAGCATTATAGGACACATTAAGTCAAAATATCTGCTTTTGAATAATAGGAAAATGTCCATTGCTCTTATATCAAAAGAAAAGAGGATTATTATACATGTACCTAGTGTCATGTCATAAGTGTCTGCCATCCAACTCATTTCCCTGGCACCAGTGCCCATATCAGGCGCAGGTACATCAAGGCCTGGTCCTATGAAATTCTTCTTAGCTAATTCTACTGTGAATCGTCTTGTAATTTTCTCAAGTTCTAGTTCCTGCAATGATAGATATGAGTATGATCAAAAGTATAAATGAGTAAGTTTGAGAGGGAAAGAAAAGTGTGACATAGACTATAAGCAACACAGGCTACCCAAGTTGCCCATTGTTAATCTCACTTTTATGTTATTAATGCATGGCTACTTTTCAGATGCCCCAGGAGCTATTAGGGAGAGTTTATATTGTTTTACTGATCTGATGTTGTGAAAGTTCAATAATAATTTTATATCATGTAAACAAGTGAATTTTCACACTTTTTAATAATTACATTGGATTCCAAGTCACTTACTGAATATTCTCTTGGGTCAATCCTAATGCCACCCTTGGCACCACCAAAAGGAACATCAACAACAGCACATTTGAATGTCATTAGAGTAGCCAAAGCTTTAACTTCATCTAGGTCAACATCTGAACTATACCTAATACCTGTTCAGTATAAAGAAATATTGTCAAGGACAAGACATTGATATAAAAAGGGTGGATGAGTTTGCACTTAGCTTTAGTAAAGTGTTAAACAAAGAAATGCAGTTGTGATAAATAAATGATAAATCATCAAGATTTTTGATAATTAATTAACCATTACAGATTTTTTTAACTGAAACAGATTGCACTACTTTATTGTTTGTTTTTCTCCTTTATGAGCAGCATGATTGAATTCTCACCTCCTTTGCATGGCTTTCTATGATGGCTGTGTTGGGCACGGTATCCTCTAATTAATTCATATTCTCCAGAATGACGTTTGATAGGGAAAGAAACTGATAATACATCCTGGCATGGCTTCATTGTATCCAAAATACCTACAAGARAATAATATATGAGTTGCTAAATATAGAGAAAAAAAAAAGATCAATCAATGTCAACTGAAATGGTTCCTCTTTTATTAGCTAACTATCCCAGATTGGTAGGAATGGGTACAACTTCACTCCTTTATTTACCCCAGAGATAATGGTACCCATTTATACACCTGGGTGCTGAAGACTTGAGGTCTGATGCCTTTAACACAAAGACCTAAATATTTGGTGCAAGTATCATACTGACTGCGTGACTGCTCTGAACCTTGTAGTCATTATGTTTTATACAACATTAATACCAGGTCTGGTTCCATCACCATGTTTAGCGTTTTCTTTGACACTGCACAGCCAAAAAAAAATCGTTTTTGGAGGGGTGAGAAACAGATGTACACAGGCTAAGCCATACGAAATCTGTATTCAAAATTGAAATCTTGGGTAACAATAGTTGTTATGCTGTTAAATATGCCCCTAGAACAATGTTTGCAGACAAAATAATAAGAAAAGAGTGGGTCAAGCATAAAACACAGTCTCTTTCCAGTCTCTACACAGTAGGTTAAATTAAACTAAACAAAGCTGCATTTTAGATTTCCCTTGGGCATTACTCAATGTTTGCATTGTAGTTATATATTGTTGTATGTACAACTTTGATGTGGTTGAGTATTCAATTGAATCCTTTGACAGGACCAGTTTTGACGTAAAGCATTTTAAAACCATGAGAATCTTAAAACGTAATTGCTATATTTACTAGTAACATAAAAAAACTAAAATTGTATACCGTCAAGTATAAACAAAAACTGTTACTTTATAAATATTCATACAATGTACATGCTAGATGACTTCAATGGAGAAGAGGTTATATTTTCAAGAGCTTATTTTTCAACGTGAATTCATCAGATGTCACGTCTTGGTTGTAAACATTTTCATTGAGGAAAATGTTGAAGAGGAGTTAGTTCAATGCAAATATCTATTGACTTATCAAGTTAACCGAGGCCAAATTACATTAAAAAAAAGGTACTTAATTAACTTTTTAACATAACTTAAAATATAGCATATATCAACCTCTATTATCTGCGACTTTAAGGAATTGAAGGGCCGAGGTAGCATTTAAAATTTGTAAGCCATTTGTTAACAAATTGATCAAGTTTCACGTGGCAAATCATGACACTATGATAGTATAAAGTTGATCAGACCTTTAATCTTGCTTTTCTTGTCCTCATGAGGATCTCTTTTAGTGCCAGGAGGATCTGGTCTTGTCAGAAGTCGGTGTTCYACATAGGATCTGGCATTATCTAAGAAGATTTCACACATCTGAATRAAGGACGGTTCTYCATCCGCTTCGGAGCTAGAATGCCTTACAGCTGATGTTGTTCTCGCTAAAGACCCACATCCAAGGTTTCTATGTATTCCTGATTGTATCAGGCGAGAGCTGGAGGCTCTTAGCATTGTTAAAAAGAAGATAAAGACAGGTTTTGTAMGTTAATCTCGAGAAGACTTCTGACACTAAACCGGCTTCTCGGTTCCCAGCGATTCGAGTGTGACGTTTTGCATTATGCCCCAGGAGAACGCGGCCAACGAAGATGCAAAGATGGGAGGGGCTGGGGGTGTGTTCTTTCCTTATATGGTGTATGGGAGGAATGGAGGAAATGAAGGAAAAAAGAAAAATAAGCGAGAAATAAAAAAAGAATAGGAGAAATACAAAAGGAAATGAATTCTAAAATCATCTACTTAAACCATAATTCATTCATAATGTTTAAGTAGAATGAAACAGAACAAAACACCAACTTGAAGCTATAAAAACTGTTTATTGGACGTTTCGGCACTTTATTCTAACAAATTTTCAAAATGCAGGTCCCTGTCAGAGAAGATTTTCACTATACTGAATATAAATTATAAGATAATAAAAATCTGATTTTTGTTAAAAGATAATGAGCTAAACTACATGATAGTGTACAAAAAATGACCATAGCCATTACTACAGTAGTTATAAAAGTAGGATAATAGTAACCCAAAGTATTTTTAAAAGTATTTTTAAAAGCCATTTATGACATTTATACGATAGGACGTCATCCATGGGAATGACCCTATAGGTATGTCCATAGATTAACCAGGGTGCTTTTCAATCTCTACATTAAGTATTCAAAAATATTTAATAAATTTGGATTAGAGACTAGACAGGATATCTTGGCACAGAAGCTGTAGTTTTAAGTGCTACCAGAGTCTGTATCCATAGTTCTTGCTAGGTCAAAAAGGCTCAAGCAGTATCAATATAAGACTTTGTCATTTTCAAATACTCCAGCATATGGTATCACCCATATGGCTTGGCAAATAGTTCGGAATCCCTGGTATCACCCATAAGACTAGCAATTCAAAATAAGTGTTAGTACTTTTCAAATACTTGGGCCCCTAGATAGTATTACCCAGGCTTAGGCTTAGTGGACTGTGGTAGCAGTATAAAACAATAAAACTTTTTTACATTGATCATACAGTTAAAATTTTGCTGGTATATTCTACAGATATGTTCTGTGGCTATATATCTAGTTAATCTGTTCATAAGTGAGACTTGAATCGCTGTAATCTGTAAAAGCATTGAACACTCCTGGTGTGGAATCTATGTACTGATTTGTAGGATCCCTTCTTCTGCCAAAACTAAATAGTCCACTTGTTACAGTGCTTAGCAGTGATAAAAACGTTCCCACACAAACAAGGATCAAGTAGTAGTGCTTACTGCCAACAATTCTTCCAGTATATTCAATAGACTCTTTGGCATCAGCAGCATATTTATAACCGATCATAAGGCCAATGAAAACAATTGACAATAGCGTGGTGACCAAAGACGATAAAAATGGACCATATTTTATGACGATTTTTAGAAATAGACGATCTTGAAAGTATCCAGCTACAATACACAAGCGAAGAGCAAAGTATATTCCTGTGAATAACAGCAAAAGTGCGTTGAATAACGACGCAATAACAAAGACAAGAAAAGGGCAAGAACTGTCGTCTGAAGCTGCCGAGTCACCAAGTTTCCATGACCAGCAAAATGTAGTGTTTTTTGATCTCGCTTTGTCTGCAAATACGGAAAGAACAGGAATAAAACACACTTCACAAAGCAGGGCGAATAC